AGACGGCCGCGCACATGGCGGCGCTCTCAGTGCTGGGGCGGCTGCTGCCCCTGGCCGCGCTCGTCGAGGCCGCGCTGCCCGCGGAGGGGCAGCGTTGGGCCGTGATCGCCGCGGGCTCCAAGGGCTACTGGAACTACCGCCACCAGGCGGCTGCCCTGGAGCCCAAAGGTCGGGCCGAACGAAAGGGGGAGATAGGGAAAGGGGGGGCTACGAAATCTGCTGCATGCAGTTGGTTTCGACCCCGCCGCCGGGCCCATTCCTCGATACATGGGCGCCTCCCGGCCCGGCGCCGGGAGGCGCCGGGAAAATGAGCTACGTGAGCTGATTCTCAACCCCCCCCTTTGCTATCCCCCCCTTTCGCCCTTCCCGAAAAGGGGCTCCAGTCCTTCAGTTTTTTTTCCGCGGCCGAAAGGGCTTCCCGTGAGGCTCTGTGTTTGGCACACCCCCCCAAAGCGGTGCTTGCGTCTAGGCGGGCCTGCCCCGGTGGCAGCCCGTGGGCGCCTCGCGTGGGCGCTCCCGCGCGCCCCGCGCTGGAGGGCCAACTTATGCCGAGGCTTCGCCTGGAGCCCGCCCGTGGGCGCCTCGTGGGCGCCCCGCGCTGGGAGGGCCCCGCCTGCTGCCCGCGCGTGGGCGCCTCGTGGGCGCCCCGGCACCTCGTGGGGATGGCGAGGCTTCGCCCGGTGCCCGCCCGCGGGCGCCTCGGGGGGCGCTCGTGGACGACCCGCGCGGGGGCGCCTCGGGGGGCGCTCGTGGACGACCCGCGCGGGATTGGGCCTGCCTCCTCCTCCTCCTCCTCCTCCCTCCTCCTCCTCCTCCTCCTCCCTCTCCTCCTCCTCCTCCCTCCTCCTCCTCCTCCTCCTCCGTGGGGGCCCCGCGCTGGGGGGGTGCTGCCGAGGTTTCGCCCGGCGCCCGCCCGCCGGCTCGCCCCGCGCTCGGGGGGGGGGGGGCATCCCCTGGAGGTTCTCCGGGTGGTCGCCCGTGGGCGCCCCGTGGGCGCTGCGCGCTGCGCGGGCACGCCGCTGTTTCGCCTGGGCGCCGCCCGTGGGCGCCTTGTGGTCGCCTCGATGGTTTTCGCCACGTGTGCAGCACCACGCACAACACAGCGTGCACCACGTAGCTTGCAGCACACAGCGTGCACCACGTCTTTTTTTCATAAAACAAATAGTTGTAGCGTTCTTATATCACAAGTAGTAGGTTCTGCCACCCTCTCCCCCCCCCCCGGGGTTAAAGATTTTCTTCCTCGTATTGCAATGTACACACGATGTTACCCCATCGTCCATCTCAAATATAAATTATACACCATCCCAGGGGGGGCGGTATCGCCCACCCCGCCATCCTTTGCAACAAATGCTATGCGCGCACGCTCGTTCACCAACAATCAGAAGTTGTCAAGCATCCCTGGCAAACTACTTGACGATGTGCACACGCGCGCGCGTCGTCGCGCGCGCATGCCGAAATCCTTCAAAACCCATAGGTTTCGGAAGGATTTCAAAATCGAGTGTCAAAGGAACATGTAAAGAGCACAGGGTTTCGCAACACGGATTGTCAAACAAATCATGCGCGCGCGTTCTTGCGGATTTGTTCAACACATGCTACCAAACGGGTCTCGCGCGCGCATGTCGAAATCGTTCGAACGCCCGTGGGCGCGTGCCGTCGCGAGAATCCTCTGCAACAAATGAGACGACGTGCACGCGCGCCCGTCGTCGCGCGCGCATGCCGAAATCCTTCAAAGAACCCTCGGTTTCGGAAGGATTTAAAAATCGAGTGTCAAAGCAACATGTAAAAACGCAAGGTTTAGCAACGTTGATGTTCAACAAAAGCGTGCGCGCGCTCTTGTGAATTCCCAAGAAAACCAGACTCAGAACATGTTACCAAACAGGCTTCGCGCGCGCATGTCGAAATAGTTCGAACGCCCTTGTGCGCGTGCTGGGGTGACACGACCCGTGTCACATATTACCATGCGAGCCACTCTCGCGCGTCTACCGCGCGCGCATTTCGAATTCTTGACGCTTCGCGTATCCCCACCAGCCCATCCTACACCAGGCACTCGAACGAAGAGCGCCGATGATCGGCAGCTGTTCTTCTCCCCCTCTTCCTCCTTCTCCTCCGCCTTCTTCCTCCTCCTCCTCTCCTCCTCCCTCTCTTCCTCCTCTTCCTCCTCCTCCTCCTCCTCCTCCTCCTCTTCCTCCGCCTCTTCCTCCTCCCTGGTGGTGTCTTGGAGGTATCTTCGAACGGTTTGGTGGGCTCTTGGGCCTTGCGGGCGGGCGGGCGGCGCTCCGCCCGCCCGCGCGCAGGGCCCAAGAGAAGAGTCCAAGACGCCTCTTGGAGCCATTTAGGAGGAGATCGATCAACGAAGGAGGGTCCCTCAACTTGGCTCGCCCCCCAGGAGCTCCAAAAATCGTCTCCTGGACCCCTCTTGGATCGCTCTTGGAGCGCTCGTGGCCGCTCTTGGAGCCGTCCTGAGGCTCTCTTGGGCCCCTCTTGGGGCTATCTTGAGCCATCTTGGAGTCATCTTGACGCCTCGGATGTGCATCGCAAGCGAAAAGGTGAGAACGCCAAAAACATTGATTTTCCCTAGGGTTTTGAAGCAGTTTTGGGCTCCTAGAGGCTTCCTCGTGATGCTCTTGTGGGTACTTGGAGCCGTCTTTACGCGATCTTGGAGCATCATGGAGCGTCTTTAGACGCCATCGGGGCGCTCTGGGGGGTGCATCTTGGAGCAAAGCTAGCAAAGAAGAGCAGAGCTTTAATTAGCGTTGCCCCTCCAGACTGTCTAAAATCGTTTCCTGGACCCCTCTTGGATCGCTATTGGAGCGCTCTTGGACGCTGTTGAGGGAGTCTTGAGGCTCTCTTCTGCCCCTGTTGGGGCCCAGTTGGGACATCTTGGCGCCATCTTGAGGCCTCGGATGGGCTTCGGACGCGAAAAAGTGAGAACACCAAAAACATTGATTTTCCTTAGGGTTTTGAAGCATTTCGGCCTTTTGAGGGCACTCTACTGATGCTCTTGTGGGCACGTGGAACCATCTTGGAGCGGTCTTGGAACGTGTTGGAGCGTCTTCTGAACCATCTTCAGGCATCTTGCGCTATCTTGAGCCATCTTGGAGGCGATCTTGGGCTCTCTGAGGCCCTCTTGGAGCCGTCCTGGGCCATCTTGGACGCTCTGACCGCTCCCCGCCCCTCCTGTCCAGGTCAGTGGGGAGGGGGTAGGGGGAGGGGTAAACCCCTCCCCGAAGGGGAAGAGGGAGGGGTGGAAGAGGAAACGCCCTAAACCACCGACGCCCAGAGGGCTGGTGGGATTCTTTTTAATACCTGCATCACCGACGCGAAGACGCCGTCATCGTTGTCGGCGTGATCGGCATCGGCGCAGTCACTGGCCGTGCCGTCGTCGCTGCCAGCATCGACACCAACATCGCTACTATCATCATCGTGTCTACAAGTTTCGATGTTGCCATGATACCGCGCCCGCCCAAGTCGCCGACTCGCACTCAAGTGCCCGCTGGGATGTGCCGAGCGGTCAGCACCACCGCGGCCGCGCCGATCCCGCCAAACTACCTGGCCGCTGCGCGCGCGCATGCGCGGGCTGGCGCGGCTGCAGAGGTGCATTAGCCAGCGCTACGCACTCATCGCGATCGCCGTCGCATGACGTTTGCAAACCAAATGGCGGGTGGTGGGTGGGATGTTTGCGCGAGAATTCGCTGCGAACAGATATTACCTGCACCCCGTAGACTGCACTTGCACCGTGCCAATAACGCAACATCGCCTACACCATATCGCTTGCAACACATCGCCTGCACCACATGGCTTGCACGACGTAGCTTGTACCAAATAGCTTGGACCACATAGCCTACACCACGCAGATTGAGCCGCGTCGATTGCACCACATGGTTTGCACCACATAGCTTGCAGCACATAGTTAGCATCACATGGTAGCACCACAGGGCTGTCACACTCCACAGTGCAATGACTGACTGTCAGTTTCGACGCTGGCTGACATTGTCCGTCCTTGAGCCCCTGCCGAACCCGTCGGCGAGAAACGCTGGTCAAAAGTGCCCCCCCCCAAGAGGCGCGCGGGCAGACTTTTCCTGGCCAGTCGTGACTGACCCCCCGAGGGGCCAGGCGGTCCTTTGGGCGTGGCCCCAGATTTCTGGAAAGTCCCCGGGACCAGGGCTGGACCTAAACGCTGTTTTGCTGGACTTCGGCTGTGTGATGTTTTTCCTTGTGGCAGGGAGGTAGGGGAAAACAGGTCGAGCAAAACGAAACACCAAACGAAAGCAAGACGCACAAAAACAACGTTTAGGTCCAGCCCTGCCCTGGACCTCGTGGCAGTCCTCTGGGTCCCTGGGGCCAGTGCCACGATTTCCCTTCCGTTTTGGCCTCTGGGGGTTTCTCGGGGCCCCAGGAGGAGGAGGAGGAGGAGGAGGAGGAGGAGGAGGAGGAGGAGGAGGAGGAGGAGGAGGAGGAGGAGGAGGAGGAGGAGGAGGAGGAGGAGGAGGAGGAGGAGGAGGAGGAGGAGGCAGGAAGGAGGAGGAGGAGGAGGAGGCGGAGGAGGAGGAGGAGGAGGAGGAGGACCGAAACGCGACTCGGGTCGAGGAGCGCTCGTGCTGGGGAAGCAGCCGCCGGGGTCCAGGGCCCGCCTCTCTTCGACGGCCCTCTGGTGCCTCGCACGTCCGAGGCGGACGCCTGCCACGCACACCATAATTATGATGCTTCGGAGCGGCATCCCGGCCAGCAACATTCGAGGCCTCCTAGATGGGGTCCGAGTGGATGGTCGGAACATCGCGCCGCATCGTCGATGTGTCGACGGTTCGGCTCGATGTGGAGACCGTGTTTCCCCACGCCGACGTCGCCGATGCATCGGCGACGTCGACGATGCATCGCTGGTGCATCGCCGATACATCGCCGATGCATCGGCGATGCGGCGCGATCCTCCGACCACATCTACTCGGACCACATCTAGGAGGTCTCTAATGTCAGAGGCGGACGCTTGCCACGCCTACCATCTGATGCTTCGGAGCGGCATCCCAGCCAGCAACATCATCCTGATGATGCAGGACGACGTGGCACATTCCGAGGAGAACAAGTTCCCAGGCAGGCTGTACAACCGCCCTGGCTCCGACACCCCCGACGTCTACGCGGACTGCAGGCCAGACTACAAGGGCAATGTCGTGACAGCAAAGCTCTTCCTCGACGTCATCACGGGCAAAGAGTCTGCTGACCATGCTTCGAAGGTGCTCAAGAGCGGCCCCAACGATCATGTGTTCATCAATTTCATCGACCATGGTGGACCTGGCAGCATCGCCTTCCCTAACGGGCCGCTGCTCCACAAGACGCAGCTTGCAGCCGCGCTTAACACGATGAAAGAGGGGAACATGTTCAAGGAGCTGGTGTTCTACATGGAGGCTTGCGAAAGTGGTTCCATGTTCATTGGCGATGTGCTGCCCGCTGGCAGCAGCATGTACGCTGTGACCGCTGCAAATGCCAAGGAGTCCTCCTGGGGCTACTACTGCCACCCCGACGACAGGGTCATGGGACAATCCATGGGAACCTGCCTGGGAGACCTGTTCTCGATCGCGTGGATGGAGGACTCGGACAAGGGCTCCTTCGCGGCCGAGACGATCGGGGCGCAGGTGAAGCTGGTGACGAAACGCACCAACAAGAGCCACGTGACGCAGTTTGGCGAGAAGTCTATCGCGGACGAGGCGATCGGCAAGTTCGAGGTCGGCTCGGGCGTCGGTGCCACGGACCAGAGCCGGGAGCGGGCCGGCTCGGCCGTCGATGTGCGGGACATCCCGAAGCACCTCGCCTACGTGAAGTGGCAGGCGCTCAGCATCGTTTGACGTACCCCTCGGTCGTTGAAAGTCGGTTTTGTTTCCGGAGTCTCAGATTCCGATCTACTTTAAGCACCTTCCTACTTCAAAGATCGAGTGGCTTCACCTTTTCCGTCCTCTTTCAGGGGCCAGGCGGAAACCCAATCTATTTTCAGTGCCTTCCTACTTCATGGCTCCACCTATTTCTGCCGGCCGACGGGTACTTGTCCCCGTCCCACTGGGCCATGGGGCCATGGCATATCAGCCCCCATCAGCCTGCCCACCTGTCTTGGGATAGGCCCCGCGAAGCCCGAAGGAACAGGCATATGGCACATGACATAGATCTAGGAGATCCTCTTGTAAGACTCACGAAGTTTCTTAAGGTCTTGTTGGGGCCTTCTGGAAGCCTCCTGGGTCCCTCCTGGGGGCCTCTGGGGGCTTCCCTGGGCCACCTTGCTTCTGACCGCGGTCTCCCTGAACGACCGGGTCACGATATGGAATGATTCAGGAGGCGTCTTGGGGGCACCTTGGGCCGTCATGGTGCTCTCCTCGGGCCATCCTGGGGCCCTGTTGGGCCGTCTTGGGGCCCCCCTTGGACTGCCTGGAAGCCCTCTTGGCTAAATTTGGGGCGATTCGCTGGCCTCCTGGGCGATCAAGGACGCCCAGAAGACCGAAGAATCGAGCATTCCTAAAATCATATTGAAACCGTAGGGAATCCATGTTTTTCATATAAGTTTTGAATGCCTCTGGAGGGTCTTCTTTGGGTCGTCTTCGGGCGTCACGGTGGATGTCTGGGGCCTCTAGGCTCTCGTGGAGCCGTCCGGCCGCCCTCCTGACCGTTTTGGGTCCGTTGCCTAGGCCCTGCAGGTGCTTCAGGAGCCCCAGAAAGCACAGGGGACCGTCTGCAAGGGCCTCCAGGGTGCTCCCGGGTCCAAGGATTCGGAGGGGTCCCGTTTAGGTGGAGGGGGCTCTCGCAGGGTCCCAGATCATAAAATCATCGAAAAGGGAATCATAATACAATACATCTATAGAGATACATTCACACAAACAGATGCCCACCCAGGTGGGTAAGCCAGGGTTCGGGATCGGTCGATCGATGCTCAGGCGCAGACCGACGATGCCTCGAAGGCCGCGGCGTGGCGCGAGTACAAGGACGTCCTCGAGGCCCGCGAGGCGGACGAGCTCGTCTTCTCGGGCATCGCCGCGGCGGCCTGCGGGAGTGACGAGGCTTGCGCGCAGGTTGCCGGGTCCTCCAAGCGCGACATCGTGGACGGAGATGGGCACCATCGGAAAGAGTCCTCGGCGTTTGGTGATCAGCGTTCTCTCCTTCTCGGCAGCGTCTGTGGGAGGACGCCGACCGTTGACGCAGGGTAATTCGCCTCGCTGACGTCGGCCAGGGGGCCACAGGTCAGGGCCGCGAGGAGCTTGCTCGAGGCTTTTTTGAGTAGTTGCAGCACCCTGTAAACAGAGGACCCCCTGCCGCTGTGGCAGGGGCCGCGGCATCCAGGGAAAGAAGGGCACACGTGCTTGCGCTAAATTTGCCATTCGTGTTGCTGCGGGGCGAGGTGTCCATGGGGGTGGAGCCCCCACATGAGGAGCAGGTCCGCCCATATGTGCAGCTCTTGGCTCTGGCCGAGTCGCGCTGAGATGGTCGGGACACTCCAGCCGTTGGTCACAGCTGCCCGTGTTCGTTCAGAGGAGTCGGACGACTCCGATTAGTTGTTGGTTTCACCTCCTGATGCTCCGCTTCGTTCTACGCGTGTAAGCCACCGCAGGAGGAGGCTGGCGTCCCCCCCGGCCTCAGGAGCAGCTGTACACGAAAGCCGCTGCTACCCTTGCCCATCTGAGGGTGTCATCTCGGGGTCCCGCTGAGCAACAAATCTGTCCGCGCCCCTGGGCCGGGGGTCTGCTTTTTGCGGCGGGTGGCGTAGGCCGACCAGGGTCTATTGTCGCGGCAACGTTTGCGCGCGACGGGGGTCGATCTGGGGGCTGTCTGCGGGGGTGGTGCCCCCCCCCCCCCACGCGTACTATCAAACGCAGGGTATTGACAGAGTGGGGACGAGGACCGACGACAGCTATTCCTGCCCATTCCAGACAGGGCTCGCTGTTGGCGTCGCCGCGGGTGTGGTCGACTTGAGACCGCAGTCCCATGCCAAACGGAGGCCGCTGTCGGTTTTGACCAGTGTTCGCTGCGGGGCGTCCACAGGAGAATGCCACAAGGGCCTCGTGGACGCCGTCTACGAGTCCTGCCCCTGCCGCCGGCCAGACCACGACTCTGGAGGCTGGAACGCGTTCAACATGCAGTTCTCGCAGGTCCTGGTGAACCTGTGCGAGATGAAGGGCGAGCTTGGCCGCAGCGCGGCAGAGCTCGAGGACATCGTGCGGGCGCAGTGCCAGGGCTCCGCCAGCAGCGGCCCCTCCACCATCGTGGTGTGAGCTGGCCGGGGAGCGGTGCGAGAGGGGCCGCGCACGTGCCAGCACCGTGTCCTCTCTGCCGCTCTCGCTCGACCGCCGGCACCCCGAGGGCAGGGTCGGCCTGCCGTGCGCATGGTCACTGCGGATACCCGGGGGCCCGAGGAGTGCGGGAGCACGCCTTCACTCCCCCCTCCCCGCCTGGAACAGCATCGAGGTTTGCTCCCCAGGCTCGTGCTGCTGCATCTCGGCTTCGGCGAGAGCGGTGCGGAAGGGCGGCGGGAGAGGAGGCGGGAGGCGGCACTGGCTGGGCGGGGACGCCGGCCCCCCTCTCGTCGCTCCTTTCAGCGCCCTCCGCCCTGCTCGGGAGCATGCGGCTTCGATGCGGTTCAGTTGATTCCAGGTCGATCGCTGGCAACCTCGGCACTTCGAGCGCGGCCATTTGGCTCGGCCCCCCTAATTACCTTGGTGGGCTGCCCTGTCCTGAATCGTCCACTGGGCTCGAGGGGGGAGCAAGTGGTTGATCCCAGGCCGAGGGCTTTCCCCCTGCGTTCCCCGTCGCCCCCCCGGCCCCCCCCTTCGGCTCCCCTCAGCTGGGGCGCAGAGGGGAGGAGAGGGTGCGTCTTCGCACCGCGCTCTCGTGCACTTCGGCTGGCTGCGGCTGCCCCTCCGGCCTCTCCGCCGGAGGGGTGGCCGCGACCATGCAGAGGTGCGGCCGCCGGAGCGGCCGTGGAAGCTTGGCAGCCCCGCCGCTTGCGCTCGGCTCTCTTCCCTCGGCTCTGCGCCCTTGGATGCCCGCTTCGCGCGCCCCCGCTCCGCTCCTGCAGCGGAGGCCCATGCCAAGAAACATCCCGCTCGCCTGCAGAGTGCCCTGGGTTTCAGTTGGGCCTGTCCCTCGACAGAAGGGATATCCAAAAGTAGTCAAAACATAGCACGTGGACGGTTTTCGCATATTTTTGAGAATTGCTTAACTATGTTTTGAATATGTTGTAGGTTTTGTCCAGAATCCCCCTGTAGGGGGACAGGCCCGACCTAACGACCTAACTCTGGGCTTCTTGGGTGGACAGCGTGACGTTCCCACAAACGCGATGGTCTTGCTATAGGAAGCGTGGCGTTCCCACACCAAGAATCAGCGGACGTCCTGGGGTCTCAGGGTTGGGTGTCTTGTGGAAGGTTTAGTGTGGTCGAGCCCCTGCTGCACTGCACCTCCTCTCACGGCAAGAGCTTGCTGTCGACCAAGATAGTTCGATCAAGTCAGCGGCGACCGGGCCCCCCTTTGGCCCCGAGGCGGCCTACCTGTTCAACACCACCACCCCCGCAACCCACTCCGGCCCCGGGGGAAGGCGGACCCTTTCTCAGGGCTCTGCGGGGGGGGATCTCGGGGCTTCCAGAGGTGCCCGCGCTGGCCCGCGAGTACGGCAAGACCTCGCCAGGACGGCCCAGGATGGCCCGAGAGGCTCGCAGATGGCCCCAAGGCGGCCTGAAGAGACCGCAGGAGCGCTCGCGAGAGGGCTTCGAGGGGGGAGTGACAGGTGATGTGCCCCACAGGCAGCTTGTCTGGAAGGGTTCGCTGTATCACTTCTCCAGGAAAGGGCAGTGGCGCCTGCTGGATCCGGGCCACATTGCTTCCCGCTGCCTCCAGTAAGTAGCCTCGCGTGGCCCGTGGCCTCCCCCGGACTCTTCGTGGCCTCCCATTGCCGTCCCTATCCCCATCATTCGATCCCTGTCCCTTGTACCCCTACCCTATATCGATATCCCTATCACTATCCCCACCCCTGATGTATATATATATATATATATGTACAAGACTGCATTGGCGCTTCGCGCCATGCACCTTGGTCCTTCAACCCTTGCGCGCGTTGGCGTCTAGCGCGGCCCTCCACGGTCTTTGAACCGCGGCCGGTTCGCGCCCAGTTCCCGGACCTGCACCTTACTTGCTCGCGCCCTCGCTCTGCTGGTCCGCGCGCCACTGGGACTCCATGAGAATGTCCCAGCGGACCGATCAGCGGCGATGAGAGCGGCCGTGGAGGCTCCGGAAAGACAAAACGTCGGACAGAAGGGGCGGGAAAGAAGTGGAGGACGATTTAGGGAGGCGCGGCGAAGGGAGGAATATCATGAGGTAAGGTAAGGTAAGGCACGCATTGGGGCGGCGTGCTGTCTCGACTTGCGCATGGGGGTGAGACAAACGGAGATGCCCTGCGATCACATATGGAAACAGACCAGGGGGCTGCGGCTCCAAGGACTGCCAGATCATGAGGAGGAAGAGGAGGAGGGAGAGGGATAATGAAGGTGCCGTCGGGGAGCGTCGCTGCGTCGTGGGATGCCACTGTCTGGCAAACAACGGAGCAGCGCAGCGAAGCCGTTCCGGAGGTGGCGGTCAAGTGGGGCGATTCAGCAGTTTTGAAGCCTCTTGGGGGGCCGTTTTGGATGCCTTTTGGAGAGCCATACTGGGGCCTCGTGGGTTCTTTTTGGGAGTCCTCGGGGCCTTTGGAAGCCTCCTGGGGCCTCTTGGGGCCCTCCTGGGGCCTCCTGGGGCCCACTTGGGGCGGAAAGTTAGATGTTTGTACTTTTGAACGCCCTGTGGGGGCTCGTTTGAAGCTTTCTCGGGGCCCTCTTGGGCCTTCTTGGGCGCCTCTTGGGCTGTTTCGGGGCGCTCCAGAGCCGTCTTGGGGCCGTGTTGGGGCCGTTTTGGGGGCCCCCCGGGCCATCTTGGGGCGCTCTTGAGGGCTTCTAGTTCTGTCTTGGAGCGTCGGAAAGCTAAAATGGCGAGAAAGCAGAAAACATCGAAAAACACATTGGAAAATTAACCATTTCGGCCTCCCGGGGCCGTCTTGGGAGGCTTCTTTGGGGCCGCTTGGGGCGTCTTGGGGGCTCCTGAGGCTGTCTTGGGGCTATCTTTGGCGTCTTGGAGCGCTTTGTGCCTGTCTTGGAGCGCTCTTGAGGCACTCGGGACCGCTTCAATGGGCGTCCGGAGGGTCCCAAAGCCCCAGGATCCCAGGAGTCCGGTTTGGGGGGGGGGGGGGGCGGGGTTTTGCGGCCGCCCGGGCTTGTAAAAATATAGAAAGAGGAATATATGTATACCTCCCTATCCCCATCCCCATCCCCATCCCCCTATCCCTCACCTCCCTAGTTTTATGTATTATGTATTATATTATATATATTTATATATATATATATATATATATATATATATATATACCCCTACCCCTATCCCTGTTCCTGTTTCGATTCCCCCCACCGTCGCCCCCCCATCGTGGTCGCCGTCGCAACGGTGTACGCCTGTTTAGGGCATTATGCCGCAAGGGTGCCATTTTTAAGAGATGTTCCGATTGTTTTTTCTCAGACAGTGCTTATACTAAGAGGTTCTTACTGGGTCCCTACGGAATAGACTGGGTCCAGCGAGGATTTCTCATGTTGACGCCCGTTGCCGCCTCGTTGCCGCCTCCTGCGCTGGGTGGGTCCGACGAGGTTTCGCCACGTTGCCGCCCGTTGCCGCCTCGTTGTCGCCTCGTGAGCTGGGTGCGTCCTGCGAGGTTTCGCCAAATTGCCGCCCCTTGCCACCTCGTTGCCGCCTCGTGTGCTGGTTGCTGTCTCGTTGCCGACTCGTGCGCCAGGTGTGTCTGGCGAGGTTTCGCCACGTTGCCGCCCGTTGCCGCCTCATTGCTGCCTCGTGCGCTTGATTGGGTCCGGCTAGGTTTCGCCAAGTTGCCGCCCGTTTCCGTCTCATAGTCGCCTCGTACGCTGTGTGCGTCTGGCGAGGTTTCGCCACGTTGCCGTCCGTTGCCGCCTCGTTGCCGCCTCGTGCGCTTGGAGGGTCCGACGAGGTTTCGCCACGTTGCCGCCCGCTGCGGCTTCGATGCGCGGATAGATTGCACCACGTATTTTCTCCTGACAAAAAAAGAAAGACTCTTATTGCCTCGCTCCCTGGAACATTGCGAATTGCATATGGTCCTGCCTCGTCGTTAACTTGCCCAGTAGATCCATCGCATCCCAGGCAAAACGGTATCGCCCCTCTCATTCCTATCAAACGATACAATGCGCGCACTCGTGTATCGCAGAAGACAATTTCTCAAGAAACCTTGGCAAAACATGTCACCAAGTCCACACGCGTGCGCACATGTAAAAACCACACCGCGCAGGCACTTCAACTCCAAACCATCAAGCGCCCGTACGTGTTTCATCGCAGGTCCTGCAGATAGTTTGCCCTCGCGCACTTGCTGAAGTCATAGGGCAGCCATCTGAGTTCAGCAGTTTCCTTCAGAGCCCACGCTCTCATTCCACCACGCGGTGCACCCGCGCTGATGCAGCCAGCGTGCGCCCTGTGCACGACCTGTGTCAAATGGTAGCAGGTGGGCCACGCGCGCGCCGCCGCGCGCGCGCGCGTCGAAGTCCTTCCAAGACCATGGTTGTTCGGAGCATCACAAGATAGCTTCATCCAACGCGCATGTTAAACACAGGCACGCTGTCTAGACCAACGAAGTCAGCCAGGGTTCTTGGGTCAGAGTCATCGACAATCGCTGCCAGTGCCGCAAGCATCACTTACGCACCTTCATCACCGACACATGGACATCATAATTGTCATCTTTGTCACCAGCATCGGTGTTGTCAGTGGCCATGCCGTCATCACCATCATGACCGCCACCACCATCGCTACGTACTCTCATCATCGTTGCCGTCGTGGCTGACGTCATCATGATACCGAGCCCGCTCGAGTCACCGACCCGCATTGAAGTGTTGCAGTGTCGGCGCGCCAGCGCGTCCTTTGAGACGCGATGGGAAGTTGGCATCGGAAAGCGCCATCGCGACCGCATCGGTTGTGCCTCACCAGTTGATCGCTCTGCGCGCAAGCTTGAGTGCGCTATCACTGCCGCAGAGATGCGCCAGACAGTGCTAATGAGCCACCACAATCGCAGCCGCATGGGTTGTGCAAAACAAGTTGCGTCTAAGAGGGTGGGGTAATTACGCGAACAGTAGGTTTGGCAAGACACTTGTGAACATTAGTTAATTGCACCACGTAGCTTGCA